GTTCATCACAAGCTGGACATATTACATATTACTATTGACACAACAAACACATTCATTTCATTTTTAAAAATATTCATAAATTTTAATGGCAGTTGAATCCAACCAGCCAATCAGTGACATGGTCTGCTTCTATGTCAAATTCTATTGGTATTCCACTGACCAATAGAAATCCGGTATCAGTTTGAATTGTGAAATGTATAAATATTTATAATAATTTCGGGAATGGGTTTATTGTGTTGATAGTACAAAGACAAACTACGTAATGTTGTACATTTCCTGTAGTAAAACATTACCATAAATAAATTATAATTCACATCCTGTTTGACAATCACAACATTTATGCATGAAATTTTAATATTTGTAGAACGTGAAAAGTAAAAAATTATGATTTATTCAAAACTTTTTTGAAAGAATTTGTTCAAATCGAATGAGATGGCAATATTTTTTAAAAAATGTTTAATATGCATTATTGTATTATTCTACTACATGTATTTGGTACAAAACAATATTTTTGAAAAATTTAATAATAGTGTTTGTCATAATTCTGAGCTCTTACTAAAAATAGAAATGACGTCATCATAAAATGTGGTAGAGTGCATGAAATAAATCAAATGTGAACATACGCAGACAATAAATGAATTTTCAAACCCAACTGCATTATTTTAATACGGCTTTCCTCGTAAGTTGTTGTGAATATTACTTTAAAGTGCCTGTGAAATGGCTGCTATTTTCACGCCTAAAATTATCCATTGATACATAAATATTATTAATTTATATGTTTCTAAGCATGAATTATTTTTTTAAGTGAAAAAATGTGTTTTAAACTCAATCAACGGCAACTTTGTTTTTGTGTATTTTAATACGAGGCTCCTCATTAGCTTCTTATTTGCATACAGAAATTCCCCTTGTGACGTCAGAAGGGGAAGTCGCATGGCAGCTTGCATTGCCGATACGTGTAAATAAGGCAAATTTCTTGTGCAGTTTTCTCGTCTTTGACTAAATTTTCACTTATGTACTTGTTCGTCGAGGAGGAATGGACCATAATGAACACATAGTATCAATTTTTGTTGCATGGGGTTGAGTTAGATGCGAAATATGTCCGTTCTGGTGTAGCTGGTCACCGTGATTGTCACCGGCGCACGTTTGTACACTGTCCACTGTCGCTGGACAAAATAGGTTACTAGGCACGTCACTACACTGTTTTATTTCATCTGAGTAAAACTTTCAAAATTAAACTAAAAGAGAACATATTTTGACATTCTAAACATTACGATACGTGTAAATAAGGCAAATTTCTTCTGCAGTTTTCTTTATAGTGATCACTATAAAATAATTAAAAAAAAATGACAAATCACAATTACTAAATAAATGACAGCCGCGTGGAAATAAATTGAAATTTTGTTGAAATAGGTGAACGCGTCGGGTCACGACGAGGACAAGTGCGTTAAAAGCGGTGTTTAATTGGATAACAAAAATAATGGAGATCGACACACATACAGATAAATTCAGAGTGGATTCGAGTTAGCGTGATCCATGGCGTGATTGTCATAAATATAACATCATATTAAAACTTTATTTAGTGGAAACACATTGACCAAGCCCGGATTCTTATTTCATAAATTATTACGCAGATCAAGCTGCAAGCATGGAGGTAAAAAAAGAACAGAGGTGTGAATTCGACATTCAACACCAATCACCAAACAATTCAGAAACTTTTAGCCTTCGAAAATGAAAACAATTAGCAGTGTGTAAGGGCTGTGTAATTTCCTGTTTGTCCGACGCTTCGTTTTCATGTCACTGTCAAAATTATTGCTACTCTTTACTTAACAGGGACTAAATGGTCTCTATAAAACGATAATCAGGATCGCAAAAAAAGTCAACTCATTTGAAACACTTGCCGTCTCTCTCTCTCTCTTCTGAAATTCGCCTCGGTGATCATGGTCCGGAATCTATTTCTTTCAAAAGTGTTGTGCCAGGTTTATGTTGTCGGCGTTTCTCTTTAAACCTAGTAGTTTTTTTCATGGACGAGGACAGTTTTTCAAAAAAAAAAGAAGCTGAGGTTAAGTGGCTTTCGTCCACTGATGTCGCACTTTCGAATCGATTAGAAACGTGTGAATACTTAAACTATGACTATACGTTTCACTGCAACTGCCCGTAACACAACATCTAAAAACTCTCTCTCTCTCAAAAAACAAAAACAAAAAAATAGACAAAAAAAGGGAAAAAATGCCGACCGAAAAATGTATATCGTTTAAAAGTATACTGAATGACCAGTGTTATTACGGCTCAGGGGTATGACTTCCTCTCACATTTTGGCATTTGGTGGCGCACTTTCAGCGAAAGTCGGAAATCCGGAAACAGTCGACCATTTCAGGATAGGTGGGCGTGGCTACAACACGAGAAATATCCCAAATTGACTTGGATACGAGTAATCATTTTCAGCAAAAAAATCAATAACTGCCCATTTCTGTGGGACACAGGTCTAAAATGGGAAACGTGAAGGTGGGCATTGCACAGGCACTTTAAATGTTATTTATGGTAATATCTAGATTCTCCCACAAGCAAGGTTGTAATAGTTAGACTATGTTTAATAATGTTCTTAAAAGTTCTGTACCTCACAAGATTAGATTTGTTGATCATGTTCTGCCTTTGTTTATTTTTGATATTAAAATGTAAAGTAAACAGTAAACTTTATAGTGTGTTTTAAAATTGTCCCTACTCTAAAAATTGAATAACAAGCGACCAATATCCTCGGGGGGCGGAGCTACGTCACAAGACGTTCCACGTTGCTACGACACGCACCACTGTACCATGCATTTCTATGGGCTCTGTGCGCGCTGCTGTGGAACGCTGGTCGAGCCGGTGAAAATTCGAGAAAACAACACAAATTCAACTTTGAAGTAATCCCAAACAACAAAATTTATATATGCTACACACGTAGGGCTAATCTTGTTACACTGTTCAGAGGAGTCTCAACAATCATCCCAAAGTACCGTTTTCTGCGAGTTTTGGGCCTTTGTTTTCACCGCCGCGGGTTGCCAGGCGGTGAAAATGCCCGGATGTCCACCCCGAGGATAGGCTTTTAAGATCACAAGGTGTGAGGGCGCTTGTCATTCCATAACCAGCTTTTACAATGGCAGGTGTGTTGGTCTACTTTTACTGAATATAAATCTACATTTCACCAGTAAATGTTACAATCAAAACAATTGTTTTAGAGCTCTAATTATTTGGGAAATCCTGTCATATATGTATAGTCATTTGTGTCGGTTGTAATGGAGATTTTCGTTGAATTACAGCGCAGATACTGTCAATAACACACCGGCCATGCTAATAGAAGAGGACAGTACAAGAACAGCATATCAACCACAACTGAAAATACTGAAAAGACCGGGAATTCAGAATGATCAGAATACAAATAAAACTGAGACTGAAAAACAGGTATCATGAATCTAGTAGTCTTGTCATTAAAAAAATGTTCTTGTGTTTAATATCCCTTTGTACTTTTAATGCTCTTATGAAGGTATCTTCGGGGGCGGAGCTACGTCACAAGACGTTCCACGGCGCGCACCACTGTACATGCATTTCTATGGGCTCTGTGTGCGCTGATGTGGAACGCCGGTCGTGCCGGTGAAAATTCGAGAAAACAACACAAACTCAACTTTGAAGTAATCCTGAACAACCAAATTTATATATGTTACACACGTAGGGCTAATCTTGTTACACTGTTCAGAGGAGTCTCAACAATCATCCCAAAGTACTGTTTTCTGCGAGTTTTGGGCCTTTGTTTTCACCGCCGCGGGTTGCCAGGCGGTGAAAATGCCCGGATGTCCGCCCCCGAGGATTTGGATAAAATATTTGTTATGTTTCCTTGACTCATAATAGTCATGTGTTGTGTTGTATGAATTAGCACAGTATGTTTCTTTAAGTCACATTAACTGAATCAAGAATATTCATAGCTGTGAAAAATTCACATTTATTGTGAAATTGTTACACAAAATAAAAAATAGTGTCATTATAGAAGCCTTGCCCAGTGGATATCAATAGATTGATTGATTAACAGTAAAAATGGTGACATAAAGGTCAGATAAAAAATTCTATATACTGTAAAATACTTTATTTTAGCTGGAATTAATTTTCGCTGAAAAGACTATTGGTGTTTCATATGGAATTTATTTTACAGTACATTTGTTTTCTCTGCTATTCATGGGGAGGAAATTTTGCAGTATTCACTGTGACTTGACGTTGTAGAGATGACAATGAAATGTTCATTGTTATAAAATTTTTATGGTTTTCTGGACTTGCAAAATCCATGGAAATTTGTGGCTGTTGGAATTCAGTTCGAATAAATCGCCACAATTAATAAATCTCCACAGAACATACAGTAGACTCAAGTCATCGAGTTCAAAAGAAAGTCGTAATGACTTCTTTATTCATGGGTAGAACGCTGAACATTTCAATCAGTAATTACATCAGTAGTACAAACTCCTGTATTAAACTGATGAGGGGCAAATAGGTGAATAACTTGAAAAACAAAGAACTAAATTCAAATGTGGACTCCATTGATGACCGCCATATCCATCGAGACGAGGAATCATGAGTAACACTTGCATAATAATTAGCATGTTTGAGGTCGATTCCATTACTCATAGGGGTAACTCTTAATGTAAGAACACATGTAAACAATCTAACAGTGAAATAATAGGGTAATTTCCTCAGTTAATTGGAAAATATGAATAAACTAGAATAATCTAAACAGTTTACATAGATAACACTAGATAAATAAATCTATCTAAATGTAGAAATGTATTGATACATATTCTTATACATTTAACTAATTAACAAACACACATGTTGACCTGTGTCCCGACACATTTTGAATATAAAATGGTTTACAATGTATTGTAGTTGCTGTTGGTTGACTTTCAGGCAACTCGTAAAAGTCTTGAACAAAGAGAAAAAGAATATGCAGAGGCAAGAATAAGAATCTTTGGAACAACTGAAGATGAAGAAAGGTATTTATTTTTTTTTTATTTTCAGACTTATGAATCTGAACTGGTTCTTACTGCTTTAAGTTTATTTTTAGACTTAGAAACCAAATTTGGTTCCTACTGGCTTTTAAAATATGGTGCATATTTGTCTCATTTGTCTCTCAGTTGTTTTGCATCCTCTAAACTACATGTATGGGTCTTCGCATACTGGTTTACACTGGTCTATACTGGATTTTATTAGTTTATACTCGATTCTACTAGTTCATACTGGATTTTACTAGTTCGTACAGGGATTCTACTTGTTCAAACTGGATTCTACTAGTTCAAACTGAATTCTACTAGTTTATACGGGATTCTACTAGTTCCTACTGGATTCTACTAGTTCCTACTAGATTCTACTAGATGGGTATCATCTCAAAATATCTATGATAGTGACTACTGTTATCCATTTTTTCAGACCAAAAGCTTTAATACAAGATGTACCTGCAGCAGACAACAGTGTGATTAGGCAACCAAAAGGACCAGATGGAACAACAGGATTTAATCTGCAAAGATGATTGGACAGTAGAAGTCATGTGATATTCTGAGGACAAAAAAATGTCATAATGTTTCCACTGTGAGCTCCATACATATTTATTCATCCATAATACAAGTATTCGGTGTATAAGTCAACCAATCACAGCTTTCACGTATGATCATGTGGGGCTAGGCTACCAATCACAGCTAAGCTGGAAGTCACGTGCATGTAAGGACTAATTTAATTGGACAAGACGAATATATCCTAGGCCACCTTGAGCCTGCTCCTATTTTCGTTGCACTGTGGCATCACAACTGGGAAATCTCGGCTGTTTTTTTCCGCTCTTTACAGTGCCAGTGAAGCTTTGGGAAAAGATGTCCAACAAAATCTAAATTTTCTCAAACATAAAATGCAACAGTGTGTTTTTAAAATGAAGTTTAAATACATTAAAGATTTTGCTTACATATCCATGTACAGATACAATCACATGACACTAATTCCTCGGATTATATTCGCATACACAAATTCCCCGAAGAGCTTGTTCGCTGCCATGAATCACTACTGCCACGTCACTCGGGCACCCCAAGACAGTGACGGATTTGTTATATCAGTCTATGACTTGATATCTCTGAGTGTTCTTTTGGTTCAAGATTGATCAGTTATTAGGTGAAATTTACTGATGACTTGTGTATATTTGCCCCAAAATTTTGATAGGAAAGCAACTGAGAGGGTTGAAGCCTTGTAGTGTAAATTGTATATGCATCGCTTCTGTTATAGGCTGAATATTGTGGATATATAAATAATTATTAAAAACACCACATGTAGTGTGGCGCCCTCATGCAGTTACTCCACTTTGATAAAAAAACTGTGGATTCACTGTTGAGTGGATGTTTCAAACATGTACCAATAAAAAAAAAATGATAAAATCCTCTTGTAAAATTCAGACATTGCACCTCAACTGAATTCATAGCTAAGGTATAAAGTCTGATTTACAATATCAGTTTGCAAAATATTTAGCTAATGTAGAGTCAGTTTATAAGTTCAGTACAGTTATCAAAAGCGATTCACACTCTTGTATGTCTGCAAGTGCAGCCAGTTCACAATTACCATAAATGCAATGGGTTTATAGAAGAAAAAAAAGGGTAGTAGTAGAAAGGATCACATGACCAACAGGGGTATATAACCCTCTTTTATGTGGACACTGAATATTGTGGATTTTGTTCAGTGATAAAATAAAAGTCTTTGTTAATAAATTCATTTTAACGTTTGTGTTGCAGTATTTTGACAAAGTAATACTGGTGAGTTTAAGCTGGTGGGTTGTGTGTTTTCAGTGTACGTGTGTTAAGGTAGAAGCTTAGTCTTAATGTTTGACAAAATTGGTCATAAATCGCATGACAATGTTCATTAGTTTATTATGTACAATCATGAAGCTAATGTTTCACGGTACAATTAAATAGCATTATATATTTGAGAAACGTGTCATGATATTTTTTGAAAATTGGTATTTTTAGATCAATTCCATAAACACAATGTTATAGAAAAATTGCATGTTTTGACAGTTTTTAAAACCCAGAATTTTTAAATAATTTCAGAACAACAAAAAGTACTCCATCATTAACAATATATGATTTTCAGCCTATGTCACCAGGTTAGATTTTAAGATATTGCATAATGTCTCTGCCATCGGAACCTGTGGTGAAAGTGTTGTAAAAGTGTCAAAATGGCGCCTTTCCACTAAAATACAACCATCAATTTCTCGAAAAAAAGGCTGGTGACCCCCAACTTTTTTTAGGTCAATATCCTTATATTGCCTTGGTGTACAATTTATTGCAAAATTTAATTTATGAGTAGGCTTCTACCTTAAAGCGCGGCAGTCATCGTGCCACGTTCTGTTCGATATGGGACTCATAGCGACCAATACAACGCATGTAAAATGCATTGTTTATTTACATGATATTTGAGCACAGAACTGGTGTTATGTAATTGGTCGATATATCCCATCAGAGTAGAGCTGTCGGAACCTTCATTTCAATCAGACTGTTTGGATTGTTATTATAGTGAGGAGGGCCACCACTCAGAATGACAGAGAGTGGAAAAATTGCTTTAGACCACTTTCCTGGAAGTACATGTCTACCTTTAATATGGTGTCAAATCCTGCTGATATTCGGTAATAGTGGATCTTACTTGTCAATTGAAACATCCACAAACACATTATCTCACATGCAAGTTTACGTTGCACCCCATATCCAATATATGCGTGCATGCGAAACACTATCTTCTGGGAAAGTGGGCTATTCATTTTGGGTGTGTCTGATGTATCCTTATACCATTGAGGGTGCCATCATTAAAGACGAGTTGGCTGGTTCCCGTCTCAAGTGTAGTGGTAATGCTTCCAGCATTTTGATTTATCCATCAAGTTCTCATTGATTTTTATTTATGGAGTATGTGTTGGTGGTACCATAGACCCTCTAATAGAGGGTCTATGTTGGTACATTTCATTTTAGTAAACCTACCACAGAGGGCGCCAGAACTGACATGGAGAGAAGCAAGATTTGTATTTATGGAAGATGTATTAGTGGTTCATTTCATTTCAGTGGTAGGGACCACAGAGGTCGCCATCACCCAGAACTGACATGGAGGGTACTGTAAAGGGGGTAATTATTCACTGGGTTTTATTTTAGCTTATTTCGCTGACTGGAAAAATGCGCTAAATTAAAACACAGTGAATATGTAAAATTCGCTATGGAACACATTATCTAAATGACAAAACCGTGAATTTAAAACCCACTGAATATGCCTGAAATGTTAAATCAGTGAAATTTAAACCCAGTGAAAATTAGTCATTTTACAGTATCAAGATTTGTTTTCGGTACAGAGGGCGCCATCACCCAGAACTGACATGGAGGGTATCAAGATTTGTTTTCGGTGAACCTTACTACAGAGGGCGCCATCACCCAGAACTGACATGAAGGGAATCAAGATTTGTTTTCAGTGAACCTTACTACAGAGGGCGCCATCACCCAGAACTGACATGGAAAGTATCAAGATTTGTTTTCAGTGAACCTTACTACAGAGGGCGCCATTACCCAGAACTGACATGAAGGGAATCAAGATTTGTTTTCAGTGAACCTTACTACAGAGGGCGCCATCACCCAGAACTGACATGAAGGGAATCAAGATTTGTTTTCAGTGAACCTTACTACAGAGGGCGCTATCACCCAGAACTGACATGAAGGAGAAGGGTTATGCGCACGCCACATTGGGTCGTATCTGGGAGCTCTCAAATAGGACCTCACGAATACGACCTACTTTACATATTACCCATATTGCATTATACAAAATGGCTGGTAGGTTAGTTGTTAGTTTTTTTCGGTTTCTTCGCAGTGTGTACTCGATGTTTTGCGTTTACCAGTAATCGTACGTTTTCCTGACGCAGTATTTGAACCAATATCGCCTCGCGAGATAGCGATTCAGTTTGCATGTTTATTCATGTTTATGAACGTAGGATTTATTGACATTTATTGGAATATTTATTGGCATCGGACTCGTTGCGTTGACCCGAATCTTCGACAGCTTGTTAAACGGAAGAATAACAAATAGATTTCCATACTCTTCAGGAGTAAAACAGAGCTGTAACTTAAGCCCAACATTATTTAATCGTTTTTATTTTATAAATGCTCTCCAGACATTTTTGCTATGAACAGTCGGAGCCCAGGAACTTTGATCAACTGTACGCAATCCCTATGAGCGGGTGGGGGGGGGGGTTATCGGCTGGTATCTAGTTTAAGAAATAAGGGATGAAGGCTCCAGCCAGCTCATATTTTTTAAACTCGAAAAAACAGTCAAACGGAATG